CACACACACACACACACACACACACATACAGACTGAGACGCTCTGAGATTCACTCGTCGTCTCTGAGCAACATTTTCATCAGGTGAGAGAAAAATATTTGTTTTTGTCTCTGACTCGAAACACACAAACTTTATTCGTACGTCACAAACATGTGAGCGCTCAAGTATCATATCGGCACCAGGATCATTTCTTTTGAGTCGCAGGCCCGTCCTATAATAATAATAATAATAACAATAAGATAATATAATTATATAATAATCATAACATCGGCACTGTGACATTATTTTTAGCCTTAATCCAAACAAGTCCAAGCTTCGGTGAAGAGGAAGTGAAGCTCCCGACTTCTTAACGATTAAGTTTCACAGTGATAAGCTGCTCTCTCCTCCCGTGAGACTGAAACACTCAGTGAATCTCACGTTTCTCTAATTCTTCCACATTTAAAGAGAGTTTTCTGACACGTTCTCCGTCTGATGTTAAAGTTCAGCCTCTGTTGAACCGTCACATTTCCAATCTTATCACATCGACCACAGACAAGTTTCACAACTCGTGGCTTCCTGTTTTTCAAACTGTAACATGCTGATGTTCATGTTTTATGAATCTTACCATGTAGAAATATTTGTGTTTATTTGTGCAAATCCAGTGACGGAAAATCATCTATTTTTAAACCATGACCTCAAAATATCAAATACACAAGTTACTTCATAAAATAATTTACTTACTGTAAATACAAAGAATCTGGACAAATTGCACAACTACACAATTTTATTTTTACTCTGCACATTTTAAAAAAGCCTCATTTTTTTTATCTTATGTATTTTTATTTCTTACAACATTTCCCCCTCATGCTGCTACTTCCCGGAGCTGCGGGGTCAGTTTACAATCATTCAAGGTGCATGGTATCACATCTTAAAGAAGATGATCGTATCCTGTATCATCGTATATTATCTTATCTTATTCTACGTTAACGTATCAAATATTATTTTTTACAAGTTTAAACAGAAATGTGCAAAAATTCATGAAGTTCAGTCCCCAAATCGAGAACTTTAAGGAAATAAACAACTGCTTCATGAATGTATACAAAGCACTGAGGCGACATTTTAAAGTGTTAAAGGTCCAGTGTGTAGAATTTAGTGACATCTAGTGGTGAAGTGTCATGTTGCAGCTGAACACCCCTCCCCCCCCCCTCTCCTTCCAAACATGAAGAAGAACCTGTGGCAGCTTCAGTCGTCATAAAAACTCAAAAGGTTTTAGTTTGTTCAGTCTGGACTCATGTAAAAAACATGGCGGCCTCCGTAGAGAGGGTCCCCTCTATGTAAATATAAAGTATTTAAATATAAAGGGTGTAAATATGAAGTATTTACATATAAAGGGCCTTTTCTGGGGTAAAGAAAACTACAATTCATATAATTTAGATGAAACAAACTAGTGAAAACATCATGAGGATTATTCTACATTTCTGTTTCCTTTCACCTGAATCTTAAAACTGGACCTTTAGTAACGTTGAGTGTTTGTCGACAGCTTCTAGACGTCCTGAGTTTTGTCTTTATCTCTGAAGCTGCTGATCTAAATCACTGACGCACGTTTGTTTTTCAGGCTTGAGGAGTGAACGCTCCTCTCGGCTGGTGAAGTCATCAAGGAATAACCTGGAATTCTTCTTCTGCTTGAATTTCAGAAACAAATGATCCAACACGTGGCGGAGACGGAAACAAGAAGAAAACTTCCACCGTCACGTGCGTATTTTTAAAATTCACTTTCCTCTGAAAACTCAATAAAACTGTGAAATATTTGACAAACAACTTAATGCCATTGAAAATTTATTGTGATATCTGATAGTTTACATTAGAGTGAAAACAGACATGTGACATGGCTTCACTAATACAGAATGCAAAGCAATGTAGTCAAATAAAAAGCATATATTTGTTTTAAAATTTAGGAAAAAAAAAAAATAATAATAATAATAATAAAACAGGCACGACATATAGCCATTATAAATACAACATGCGTCAGACCTGTCGCTGCACAGTCCTAAGAAAAGAACAGTCTGTTCCCCTGTGGACCCTCGGAGCAACAGCAGCGGAGCTCAAAAAGTAGGTAGCCAGTGTCACAGGAAAACAACGAAGAGTAAACAGTGTTCAGCAGCGAGTATCTACATCTGTCTTCCAGGACGCAGTGACGCTGCCGAGTCCAGAGAATCAAAACATTCTACAGAAAGACAAACGTCACGACTGACGGGATTTCTCCTCTTTGATTTTGGTTTTTCACGGTTGAATCTGCAGAAGACGCCCGGTGCCTGGCGTCTTTCCTTCCTGTCGACTGACACGCGACGGTTTCGATAGAACCTGGTTCTTATTTGGTAAACGCCGGCGTGACACTGGCAACGGCTTTTTGTCGGTTCCACTTATTCTGACTGATCGAGGGGAGAGAACGGAGGCTCTGCTGCCGGACGCCATGTCGGAGTACACGGGCTGCGTGGAAGAAGAAAGTGGGACCAGTGCCGCTCCGTCCAGCAACGATTAAAGCAGACGTCTGCGAGAACGAGCCAGAGATTTGTTGTGGCGCCCCTGCTGGCCACAATTATAATTAGTGATTAAATGTTCTAAATCATATTTTAAGCAGAAATCCTGGTTCCGGCTTCTTATATTTAAATATTTGTTGTTTTTATGACGATACATTTAACGTTGTATTTTCAGAATGTCACTTTGGGCCTTTTCCACTATTTTCCACTATTATCGATAATTGAACTGACACAAACAATAACAGTTGACGGACCAGTCATCGTTTAAAACTTGTGATTAATCAAATTTTATGGGCCCAAAAAAAAAAAAGGTTTCCTACAAATGCTGGTTCCCTCCGAGTTTTGACACGAACCTAAAATGCTTCATCCCAGTTCAGGAGCCGTTATCTTTAAGGGTGGAGCCCTTGAAAGTTCGAGTTCGAGTTCGAGTTCAAGTTCAAGTCAGGAGCAAAGTTGAGACGTGGATGTTCAGATGTCTCGTCCTCGGAGCTCTTTAAAAAACTCAGGGACAAAAACCAAAGTGTGAACATCATCAGTTGAATCACTGACAAACTCTGGCGAGTTTCCAGAAACCAGAGTTCATGAAATGTACTTTACCAGTTTACCAGCACCGATGACTCAGTGTGGTCACGTCTATTTCCCAAAGGTTACGGTTTAACAGAGACTTTCATTTTTGGGCTTTAAAACTGAATTATTTTTGAAATGTCTTGAAACACAAAGTGTAACGGCAGCAGCTCCTCGACTGGGACGAAGCGACTGAGGTCGACATCATCAAAACAATCAAATCAAAGCGTTCAGGGAAAAAAACCTGCAAGAAAATGAGCAAGTTTTCAAGAAATACAATCAGACATTCACAGCCAGCGTTGCTCAAAGCTGAGGACGTCCACTGCGGCTGCCAGAGGGACGACGTCCTCCGTACAGACACTGACTGTGGTGGGAAAGGTTTTTTTTTTGTAAAGGCTCTCCCTGCGACACGGTGGGAGATTCCAGCTCGCCCTCGACGTCTTCATGTCTCAGCAGAGACCTGAACCCTCCAACAGGCTCGCACCATGAGCTACAATAAACCAACCAAACGAACAACGGGGATAAATCTCCTCCAAACAAACTACAACCTGACTCCAACACCGCAGATCACCGGGAGAGACGGTGACACCGAACAGCTGTGACAGAAAAAACACAAACAACAGAACCCATCAGATAAAAAAACTTCCAAACTAAACAGACGGAAAAACAGAGAAATAAAACAGTCGGAGGAAAAGGAACTAAACATTCGCTTTCGTGTGCCAGAGACACACACACACACACACACACACACACAGCCAGAGGTACAGTGAACAAAAGTGCTTCAAGTTGGGGAAGTAAAAGAACTAACCCGGTAGAAATACATATAAAACCTTAAATATTACTTTATGTACAAAAACTGTAACAGGGCCAATATCTCAGCTGTTTATCTTCAAGTAGGTTTCACTGCTCAGGGTTTGCATTGTCTTTGTTTTCAGGATTAAAGGTGGTGATATGACTGACCTCGCCGGCAAAGTAATCAATCACTGCTGATTTCTAAATCTCTCCCTGTCCCACCTGCGGCCATCTCAAACGACAAGCCCCGCCCCCACCCCTCGTCGTCCAAAACGTCTCCCTCCGTCTTCACCCGGAGATTCAAGAGACTGAATATTCATCTGTGTCTGCACCTCGAAATCTGAACATAGAAAATATATATACGTGTGTCTGTGGAACGCAGAATCAGGAATTTGGTGAAGAAGGTTCTCGAGGGCCACGTCGAACCAGGGGGGCGGAGTTATGCACTGCACAACAGAAAGAGAACACAATAAACGGAGGGGGGAGGGGGGGCGTTCATGTTTTGAAGAGGCACAGGATTCATGCGGCTTAGAGGCAAATCACAGACGGCGTCCGCAAAGAGACGGATAAGCATAAAGTGCAAAAGACCTACCAGAGGGGGGAGGGGAGGGGAGAGGGGAGGGGAAAGGGGGGAGGAGGGGGGGTGACAGCAGCAAAGAAACAACTCTTTTCTCCTCAGGTTGAAAATCAGCCCGAGGTGAAAAGCAGAATTGATTTAGATGAAATCAGAAATCTGCTGCCGACACTAAAGTCCCGACAAACCATCAAAGCTCCTCTCAGTCTCCGACAACCTGTCGTTCATCTGCGAGAAAACACAAAACTGAAAAACAGACGACGCTTTGCCTCCAAACCGACACGAAGCGACGGCCTCTGCAAAGTGCAAACGAAGTAGCGTCGTTCAAGTGTGCGGCTGTGTAATGGTGACCACACACAGTGCATATATATACACACACACAGTCATATGCATATATACATATGTGCATGACAGCAAATATATATATATATATTTAGAATCCATGTTCCAATATCTACGTACTACGAACATTTTCATAGTATTTATGGATATGTAATCATAGGATGTGTTTTTATACTCATATGTACTTGTGTCTCTCATATTACTACACGATGGAATAATACAATCTGTTTTATGACGAGTGACACTGACGTCAGGTTCTGCTCCTTTTCATGTTTCTGCTGCAAAATGGGACCAGCCACAATCGCAATTAGCCAAACACCACGAATATAATTAATGTGTGTGTGTATATTATATATACACACACACACACACACACACACACACACACACACACACCTTTATGTCGAAAAGGAAAATATCAGGTGCTACCAGAAGGGGGAGTAAACGAAGATTCACAACTAAGAAAAAAAAAAGATATAAACAGAAAATAGTATCAGGTATAAAATCTCACACTACTGCAATCAGATCCGCTGCCACTTTAAAAACAAGCGAGACGCTGCTACATGTTCGTTACTACGCTAAACTCCCTTCCCCCTCCGCACCCGTCCCTGATCGCTCATTTGGACATTAGCAAAGAAAAGCATGCTCAGCTACAGGCAGAGTCACGACGAGCCCGAAACAAATAAACAGAACGTGACGGGGAAATAAAATGCTAACCAGTAACATTCACACGCCATCAAACCAAAAAAAAAAAAAAAACCTTGACCAAACCCACCAAACTAAAGCAAATTAAAAATCAAACACGTCGTCAGAGTCGTTTCGCTGGATGAGGGAAACAAAGGAATGTCCTTTCAGTGAAGTCCGTCCCCGGTGGCAGAGCGGGCGCCACATCACCACAATCACTTGTAAGCGTGTTTCGCGGTGGGGAGGAGGGTCGGGGGTGAGTGAGTGAGTGAGTGGGTGAGTGAGCATCGAACCCAAAAGCTCTGGAGCCGCGAAGGAGGACGCACAATCTTCAGCGTGAACGACCGGACTCCTGCGACGTGATTTTTCAAGAAGAGTTGCCCCGCCTCCTCGCCGTTCGCTCTGTTTCACGATGAGCAGGTGGGCGTGTGCACGCGAAGGAGACGAGCGGGTGACTGTTCGTGGAGGTGTGTCTTTGCTTCTTTTTGGGCGCGGTGGGCGGTGGTTGGGGAGGGGCGGGGTGATGGGAGGACATCATCGCTCCACGCAGTTCAATAAAGATTATTCCAAGGTCGGAGGAAAGGAGGAGTCGGAGCGTCACTCCCAGCCGTTGTCCTTGATCATGTGAGCCAGCTCGATGATGAACTTTCCCTCCTTGTACTTCTGACTGCTCTCGAAGGCGTGTTCCTGCAAAACAACCAGAGACGAGAGAAACACGTCAGCGACGCCAACAATCCCTGAGAACCAGAACCTTTCAAACACTCATTTAGATTTAATTTGAATTTAGTTTGATTCACTCAAAACTTTAAAACTTTTCCCTTTAGAGTTTCTACTCTAACACGATCTACTTCCTTTCCTACATTTTAATCATTTCATTAAAAAAGTAACAGAAAGAATAATAAACAAAATCAGAGAAATCATATGATATAATATTATTTCATTTCACGTTTATTAACACGTGACCGCTCTCATACTCTGGACATGCGTGTTCCGCTGTCAACAGGAAGCTTTCGGTCGTTAGCTGCCGGAGAAGCTGTTAAATAATAAACCGTCTGTTCGTCATCCTCTTCAGTGAAAAGCAGAATTTTGAGCGATGCAGTGAAAACTGAAGTTTCCTCTCCTGACCGTGCGTCTCATGAAGATCTGTGTGAAACGTCTCGTCCTGCTGAGCGTCACGAGAACCAGGACGTCGCCCGGCGCCCACGTCTGTGATTATTTTCCTCCGCCTGCTTCGCCTTGTGAACCAGCTCCGCTCCGATCTGCTCGCGGCGCCTTTCTGAGAATCTCTAATTGTTTCTGTCACTGACTGAAGCTTTAAGTGAGTCTCTGTCTCATACTCTGTTCAGTTATTTTACACCCTTCTACAGCCGTTTCAGACAATTACCGCGACAGGCCTCCTCAAAACGTCCTGACATTTAATCACTGCAGACTCTCCGAGGAACCGCTCTGGCTGTCGGCTGCCAACCTTTCGGCTCTGTAATTATCTCCTGCTCCAGGAGACCAAAGAGCAGCTCGGCCTCGGAGTCTAAACACAAACCTGAGCATAAAAAACCGTCACCACGGCTTTAACAAACGGCTCTTTAATGAGCGACCCTGTTCTCCTGACCTGTCGCTCTATCGTTCGTCCATTTGGAGCCACTTAGCCACCGACGTGTTGTAAAGCTGCACATCACAAACAGGTAAAAGGTCTCAGGTGGAACTTTGACTCACGTATTTCCAGCCCAGCGTGGTTTTACAGTTTTCACAGTAGATGTCAGCCACAGCGTGTAAACCCGTGAGGAGAACCCGCTCCTCCGCTGGCCCGCAGCCGACATTCACCCTGGAGACGAGAGGTCAGAGGTCAGAGACAGAAGATCTGAAATCACCACATAGAGGAATTAACATTTTGAAGTGCTGTTCGAATGTTTAGTGAAATTTGTTATGCCCTATATATATATATAGTGCACTCATTGTTTCCCACAGTGCATCGTTAAAAAGTAGTGTGCAACCGATGGTCACTAACCATCATGCATTGCGCTTGTGGCATTGACAGGAAGAGAAATGGCGGAGAGACGAGAGGAGAGAGAGAGCAGCACGTCTCAGCTCTCTCTCTCTCTGGAGATTCTTCTCCTTCTTATTCGGATCAAAATATCTGAATCATTGTGTGAATAAAGACAAACAGGTTTATGAGGTTTACATTGAGTCTAATGGTTCTGATGGTGGAGTTTGTTTTCATGACAAAACAAACCTGCGACTTGCTGCAGTGAAATATGTGAAAAGAGCCGAGCAGCTCATCACAAACTGCAGAACACAAGCTGATTTTTTTATATTTAAAGATCAATTTTACTTAAAATATGAAACTCAAGTGTGAAATTAACATTTAAAATGTTTTTTCACCGGCCGACTTTGTAAAACTGGGTTAAAATATTCATATTTAAATTCATATCTCTATTAATTGTCCATATATGAGATTTAAAGAAATTCACTGAATCTTTGTCTAAAACATTTTGGCATCAAACAAAATGAGCGTTGACATTTTGGAGACAGAGCTAACGACTTAACACAAACAGCATCAATTAAAGTTCTCAGACAAAATAAAACTCTGGAAGACGTCGACGGGGACTCGTTTACTCGAGAAACTGCACGTTAACCGGTAATGAAAATAATCATTCAAATCTGAGGAGACTCCCAGCAGGGTCGTGATCAAGGACTCAAACTAAAAGAGACGATGGAAACATCACTATCGTCTCTTCTCTGGTCCGAACACCTCACACGGATCCTTCTGGCTCACATGCATCTGCACGCGTCCTGCTATTGTTGTTACTAGCTTGTATGTTAACTTCACGTGTGCCAGCGTCCCGTGTGTCGGAGAACACACGTAAAGAACGACACTGAATGACACGAAGGCAGAGGCTTCAGGAGAATGAGTCCAACGAATGACTTGTGAACAAACCATCATCACTTTGAGATGAGAACAATGGAGGTGAGTTGTGAGACTCGTACTTACACTGAGTTAAACAGGTAGGCTCGTCCTTGACTGCCTTGAAATGACTGAAACAAGAGAGAAAAACAAAGATCATGTAAGTTGACATTGACGAGCGGCACCAGACTGAGACACAGGAACGTCTGCAGCAGACGCCCCGGGCGGCTTCTCTCCCGCTAACTCCTGCCCATACTCGTTCTTCCACCTCATCAGGTTTCCCACAATCCAGTTTGGCTGCAGGTGAGAATAAAAAGAGGTGGAAACACAAAGACAGAGCGAGTCAATCAACCGTCGTGTCGAGAGCTGACGCTGGATTTCTATCGTTCAACAGGAAAACTTCAAACTTCATTTTAACTTTCTGGAAAACGTGACGTTAAAAAGCTGGTGGCACTTTTAAAATCTGTCAAAGTTTAATAGAATGTGAAGCGATGGATGAAGTTACATTTACCAGATTAATCTAAACCTGGATAAAAATCCGTTAATAAAAAGGGTCAGATTTCTACTTTGGTGTTGAGCTTCACCGATGATGTGTCGTGTTCCAGATATTCAGCGAATCAGCAGAACAACAAAACAGCGTTTGTAGAGAGAAGAAGAAGAAGAAGAAGAGACTTTAAGGCTCCACATGATGAGGATCTGAGCTTTTCTGAATGAAGGAACGTCAGTAACAAGACGCAGTTTAGTGGGATATTACATAAACTACACACACACACACACACACACAC